GAGATTCTGAGATTCTGAGATTCTGAGATTCTGAGATTCTGAGATTCTGAGATTCTGAGATTCTGAGATTCTGAGATTCTGAGATTCTGAGATTCTGAGATTCTGAGATTCTGAGATTCTGAGATTCTGAGATTCTGAGATTCTGAGATTCTGAGATTCTGAGATTCTGAGATTCTGAGATTCTGAGATTCTGAGATTCTGAGATTCTGAGATTCTGAGATTCTGAGATTCTGAGATTCTGAGATTCTGAGATTCTGAGATTCTGAGATTCTGAGATTCTGAGATTCTGAGATTCTGAGATTCTGAGATTCTGAGATTCTGAGATTCTGAGATTCTGAGATTCTGAGATTCTGAGATTCTGAGATTCTGAGATTCTGAGATTCTGAGATTCTGAGATTCTGAGATTCTGAGATTCTGAGATTCTGAGATTCTGAGATTCTGAGATTCTGAGATTCTGAGATACTATAAAAGTCTGAAATTTCAAAAATCTGAGATTCTGAGATTCTGAGATTCTGAGATTCTGAGATTCTGAGATTCTGAGATTCTGAGATTCTGAGATTCTGAGATTCTGAGATTCTGAGATTCTGAGATTCTGAGATTCTGAGATTCTGAGATTCTGAAATTCTGAAAATTATCCTGAAAATTGAATTTTTGCACTTTTGATTCCAAGAAATGTTCTCTGCTTTTTTCTGATTTCTATTCTTCACTGAATTATGATGACAATTTTTTCTCATGCTCCAAAATTTTAAAAAATTGTTTTTCGGAATGATGAACACAAAATGAACAGTTTATTAAAAATCTGAAATTCTAAAATGTTGAGATTCTGAAGCTCTGGAATTCTGAAATTCTGAAATTTTGAAATGTTCAGATTAGTTGATACTTTTTTTCCTATTCAATGATTGTTTTTTGATTTTTCAAAAATTTCAAATTTTGGATTTGTTTTTTTAGAAAAAAAAGTCTTTAATCTTGCAAAACGTTTTTCAATTATGCTATTTTTAAATCCGAAATCCCTGGATATTTCCATCGTTAACAAACCTATTCATCTCAAAATATCCCACTGATTTGTTCATTTTTTTCCCAAAAAATCAAAAATCAATTTCAGCGACAAACAATCTGAAAAAATTTTCTCAAACATTTTTTTTTAATTTCCAATTTTTTTCAAATTTCCACCCAGAATTCTTCCATTGACCCCCACAAAAAAATTTCGGAGGTAATTTGAGAAATGTTACCTTTCTTCTTCTACTCTCTTTTTCTTCATATTTCCATATTCCCTCCTGTGGTCATTTAATCCCTGTGGGACCACAGTATTTTCAATTTTTTCTTTTTTTTTGGGGCGTCTATGTCTAGAAAACCGAAAAGTAGTTTGGGTTTTTGAAAATTAAAAATTCGGAAAATTTGTAAAATCTGGAAAGTTGTGATTCTGAAAACTCTAATAGCTCTTTTGAATTGGAATTTTTTGAATTTTTTGAAACTTTCAAAGGTTTAAAAAATTTTTAAGTTTGAAAGATTTAGTAATTTTTGGAAGTTTTATGATTTCAGAAAGTAAGAATTTCAAACATTCGAAAATGTAGAATTTTTGCCCTTTTCCGTACTTCCTTCCCTCATTATATTTATGCATATGCTTGTTTTTGTCTCTCCAATTTTATTTTTCCTTTCTATTTATTTTTTTTTATTTCTCTGAAAAATGTTATTAGCATAATAATACATACCTAGTCTATAGACATTCTAGACTTATTCCAGGAAGGTCTGTTCTGTTTCAATGGTGTATCTTTTATTTGGCGGATATTTGAAGAATTTCTGAATATGGAAATTTATGAAATTCAGCATTTTCAAATGAAATTCAGCATTTTCAAATCCTGAATATTTTAATATCTAAATTTCTGAATTTCCGAATTTCTGAATTTCTGAATTTCTGAATTTCTGAATTTCCGAATTTCTGAATTTCTGAATTTTTGAATTTCTGAATTTCTGAATTTCTGAATTTCTGAATTTCTGAATTTCTGAATTTCGAAAATTCTGAATTTCGAAAATTCTGAGTTTCGAAATTCTGAGTTTCTGAATTTCTGATTTTCTGAATTTCTGAATTTCTGAATTTCTGAATTTCTGAATTTCTGAATTTCTGAATTTCTGAATTTCTGAATTTCTGAATTTCTGAATTTCTGAATTTCTGAATTTCTGAATTTCTGAATTTCTGAATTTCTGAATTTCTGAATTTCTGAATTTCTGAATTTCTGAATTTATGAATTTCCGAATTTCTGAATTTCTGAATTTCTGAATTTCTGAATTTCTGAATTTCTGAATTTCTGAATTTCTGAATTTCTAAATTTCTGACTTTCTAAAATTCTGAATTTCCGAAACTTGGAATATCTGAATTTCCAAAACACCGAAAATCAACATTTGAGGAATTTCGAATTTCAGAATGTTCAATTTTCTAAAAACTATATTCTGAAAATCTGATTTTTGTCAGAACTTATCAGAAAAGTTTCGTATTTTCTAGAAATCTCCAAATTATCTGAAATTCCTGATTGACTGATAATTTTTTAGTGTGTTGGTTCCTCTAAGTTTTCTGATTCCCTAAGTTTTTTTCTAATGTTGTATGATCATTGAGATCCTGAGAAATTTTTCTTTTTCTTCCAAGAAAATGATATGTACACAAAAAATATTCATAATGCCCTTGATTTTTTTTCCTTTTCCAAGTTCTTGGATTTCTAGAAATACGGAAAAATAAATCCTTCGAAGCTCAGAAATTCAGAAATTCAGAAATTCAGAAATTCAGAAATTCAGAAATTCAGAAATTCAGAAATTCAGAAATTCAGAAATTCAGAAATTCAGAAATTCAGAAATTCAGAAATTCAGAAATTCAGAAATTCAGAAATTCAGAAATTCAGAAATTCAGAAAT